AGTAATCTTAAAGATTCCTAAATGCATCTACTTTCGGAAGGCCAAATAAAGTGCTTTTGCTTTCACCTAGAAACACACAGCGTCTCCCTGACATGGCTGCTTCAACACTAACTGCGGTTACTGAAACCACGCCTTCTTTCTTTGCGTGCACATTTGGGCGGCATTATGCTAATATTTACACATGGTGAGGTAGATATGTGGGGGCGTGTTAGAACGAGCTGTTTTAGGGGGGCGTGGCAGAGTCTTAACTTTGATAAAGAATATCTCTTTGGTTTTGAGACTTTAGTCTTTGCAACTTCAGGGATCTTATCTATTCACAATCAGCTTGTAACACTCCAAAGAGAAAGGAAAACTTGAAATCGCATCATATGACCCCTTTAAGAGGAGTATTGCCTTTCTTATTAAAGCAGGTATTAAAAACAACCCTGAAATTGGAAGTTGTATAGTCTGCAACCTAATGCTCCCAGTTTTGCATTGTACTGAGAAACAGGGTCAATAAACAGCAGCTGGTTAGTGTCAAATAGCATAGCATTTGTATTTTCAATCATGTAAATAGAATGAGAGCTGCATGTATTTAATGTGCAGAATAAAACCTGATTGTAAACATGTACAAATGATCTTTTTCCTCTCAGTTTAGAAAATAAGAATATCACATGATACATGTTATTATATATTAACTTAGAGAACACAGACCTATTCATAATATTTTTATTCTTTCTTTTAATTATGTAAGTACTGAATTGAATAACATACAGGCTAGTGTAATAATAGAATAATTTTGTTTGCTACAGATATTATTACAGTATAATGACTAGGTTTTCTTGCTTTTTTCTTGAGGAAGAACAAAATCAGACATGAAATCACAAAACATGTCTTTGGAGACCAAATTTGCTTAAAATTACTTGCAAAAAATAAATGGATTAATTAATAAATAAATAGAAATAAATAAATAAACTATTCTACAAGCTATATTTATTCTAATGGAACATTCATTCATCCAATTTAAAAATGTAAAGTAAGAAAACAAATAATTTAATTAATTAAAAACCCGTCCAGAATTAACAGAATTTTTTTAATGAAATGTCTTATTTATTCAATAACTTCAGTAACTATTTATTACATGTATTTTTATGTACAGGTTTTATTTTTGCATTTTATGTATTTATTTTATCTGTTTCTTTGTTTATTTTAGTTATTATATTATTTCTGTATTTAATTCTATTTTGTTTTGTCCTTTCACTGCTCTTCTAGTCAGAGACATGCAGGGGTTGAGAGGGGGCGTGGCGTTTGTCTTGTAGGAGGGGCGTTTGAGCTACTGTTCATCGTGGTTTTTTTCCGAGTGTGCCATTTTGGCTCCTGAGCGAGACGCGTCGTGTGATTGGGCTCCAGGCGCCGCTATCGGAGCCAATCAGAGGTGCATCGCGCGGCGGCACAGACGGTGAGTGAGCGCGGCTGCTGGGAGGGACGGGACGCGGTCGGTTAGCTGGGGATTGGTGTGTGACCGGAAGACAAAAAGCAGGACAGAATTACAGGAGATCTCACAAAAAAAAGGTTATTTAGATTTTCTTGTTTTTTTTATGCACATTTCATATTTTTCAGGGAGAGGGAGTAAAAAACTCACAGAAGCGATTCAATTGTAAACATTCTCCGTGAGAACAAGTATCAAGTAATTTGTGAAAAATGGGGGCAAAAACAAAAGTGTTGCGTTTATAATTTTGTTCAGTGTACATACAGAATTTACTTTTTTTCCTCCCGGGGTTATGAAAACAGTTGCATATGTAAATCTGCTCACTGTGGATCTGCTCACTGGTGTCATATATATAGAGACAATAATTTAAAGAGCTGACTTAATGCTAATGAGGAATGCTGTAAACCAGCAATTAAGTCAAGCATCCTCTTTTATGTGTCTTGCATTAGATGCATGTGCTGTTGCATGACATTTCAGATTTGTGCAACAACTTGTTGCTATTTTTCAGACTTCAGTTCCGTGCTGATCTCATAACTCATAACCTACAGCAGTCAGACGGCAAGCATGGAGCAGTACACCACCACGACAACTAGTGGAGAGCAGATAGTGGTACAGGCCAGCAGCGGACAGATCCAACAACAGGTAATTTGTGACATTTACATGCAGATAATGCGGTACCATATTAAAGTATGTACGTCGGAGATGCATAGACTAGTATTTTTAATATATCTAGTAATAAAGCATCTCAGTGTGGTATAAAACCACAGAAGAAACGTTTTCATGTGTTTTTATTCATTTGAGAGTCACAGTCCCTTATCTCTGGCCCAGGGCACAGTGACTGCGGTGCAGTTGCAGACTGAGCCTCAGGTAGGCCAGACTGCGGCCCAGCAGGTCCTTCAGGTAGCTCTCCGAGCACCTCTGCTGTCTGCAAATCTCCATGCATGTCATCTCAACATTGCATTGCACAGAGATCCGTTTGCTAGTTGCATTGTAATAGTAATTAATGCAATGTTAAAATATCAGATATCTGTGACCTTTGCGCTTTTTGCATCTGTCATGAGTTTATTTCGTTTATCACTCACTATGATTTACAAGAATTTAAAGTGTCCAAAGAACGCTCACATGCATGAGTTTTTAGCATGCTTTGTTTTGCAAAATGCATTGTAAAATCTCCAAGTACATAACAGCTGCACCACCAGTTTTTTGCATTTCAGAAGTTTACATGCATTGCATTTTCTTGCATGCATCTGTGTGTAATATTGTAATAATGCTTACATAAAATGCATATAAATATCAGTTGTCACATTATATCTTGGTAAGATGGTATTTAAAGAGATAGTTCACCCAAAAATGAAAATTCTGTCATTAATTACTCACCCTCATGTTGTTCCAAACCCTTAAGGCCTTCATTCATCTTCAGAACACAAATTAAGATATTTTTGATGAAATCCGAGAGCTTTCTGACCTTGCATAGACAGCAACGCAACTACCACGTTCAGGGCCCAATTAAGGCAGTAAGGACATCGTTAAAATGTGGTGTTTTATGTTGTCGATGTTTGTTTCCATTCTTGTTCTGTCATTAATTACTCACCCTCATGTTGTTCCAAACCCTTAAGGCCTTCATTCATCTTCAGAACACAAATTAAGATATTTTTGATGAAATCCGAGAGCTTTCTGACCTTGCATAGACAGTAACGCAACTACCACGTTCAGGGCCCAATTAAGGCAGTAAGGACTTCGTTAAAATGTGGTGTTTTATGTTGTCGATGTTTGTTTCCATTCTTGTACTTTTTATGTAAAGCACTTTGGTTCAACCTCGGTTGTGTTTTAAATGGTGCTATATAAATAAATAAACAAGAACAAACAAAACAAGAACAAAATAGTCCCAAGTAACATCAGTGGTTCAACTGTAATGTTATGAAGCTATGAGAATACTTTTTGTGCACAAATAAAACAAAAATAACGTTATTCTACAATTTCTTTTCTTCCGGGTCAGTCTTCGACACTTGTTCACAAGAGTACCATGACACATGTATGCTTTGCTGCTGACACAGGAGCTGGCGTTTTGATGTAGAACATGCATGTTCTGCACCTTGTTTATAAGCAGAGGAAGATGCACACTGTATGAAAACAGTCTTCATAAACATGTCTGAAGATTTCGACAGAAAGGATGACTTGCAATTTTTTGCCCAGCCTTACCTATTTCGAACCAGAATATCCAGATGATGAACTAAGAGAGATTGATGTTCTATGTCAGAACACCGCACACATGTGTTGTGGTACTGTCGTGTATGCACGTCGAAGACTGACAGGGAAGAGAAGAAAATGTTGAATAAAGTCATTATTTTTATTTTCTTTTGCACACAAAAAGTATTCTCTTAGCTTCATAACCACTGATGTCACTTGGACTATTTTAATGATGTCCTTACTGCCTTTCTGGGCCTTGAACATGTCTGTTGCATTGCTGTCTATGCAAGGTCAGAAAGCTCTCGGATTTCATCAAAAATATCTTAATTTGTGTTCTGAATATGAATGAAGGCCTTAAGGGTTTGGAACGACATGAGGGTGAGTAATTAATGACAGAAATTTTTGGGTGAACTATCTCTTTAAATGCTTTATGATCAAAGCTCTGTAGATGGTGTACAACAGGTTTTTCAGCAAAGTTTTGATCATGTTGAAATGTATAAGCCTTAGAAATGTGCGTATCAAATATGATACATTAGGCTTTATAGGGTTTTTATCTTTGAAGTTGATATAAAATGAGTTTTTCAATGCATCCTCTTCAAAGGTCCAAGGGCAGCCTCTTATGGTACAAGTCAGTGGGGGTCAGCTCATCACTTCCTCTGGGCAGCCCATAATGGTACAGGCCATGACAGGAGGACAAGGTCAAACCATCATGCAAGTACCGGTATCTGGTACACAGGGGCTGCAGCAGGTGGGTGAAGCTTATGTTACATTGAATTGTTGGTTAAAATATACTATTTTCATTAACATATTTAATTTATCTAATAGCAGTGCATTGGTTCTCAACCAGGGGGCCTGGTTGACAAAACACCAAACAAAAAAGATTTCATCCATTTTTTGCCTTTGATGAAACAGCATTCCCACAATCTTGGAAAACCTGTATATATGAGGAAGATTTATTATAAAATTGTGAATTCTTGAACCGAAAAAGCTCATTAAACGTCATTTTTATAATAAATGTACAATTATTCCAAGCTCTGAAGTACGTTATCCGGTAGAAATTGTGAGTAAACAACTGGACAAGTTATGAAGCATTCAAAAATTGTTGTTGACATGGAGTCAAAAAGATTGAGAACCACTGCAATATAGTGTTCCATCAAATTATTGGGTGTGAAGTTGTAATAAAATTACCAAATGTGGCACAGATTCAATTGGTACAGCCCAGTCAAATCCAGCTTCCTGGTGGGCAGACATTACAGCTACAGGGTCAGCAGGGACAGACCCAACAGATCATCATTCAACAGCCACAGACCGCAGTCACTGCAGGACAGAACCAGGTGACTTCATTTTGTCATGAATTTGAGGAAATATAAAGGAGCACCCTCTATAAACTGCACTCTTTAATACATATAATTAATGAAGTTCATGATAAATGTTTTCTTAGGGTCAGCAGCAGATCACTGTACAGGGTCAGCAGGTGGCTCAAACCGCTGAAGGACAGACCATCGTTTACCAGCCTGTTAATGTGGACGGGACCATCCTACAGCAGGGTAACACGGCTACTCCTCTGCAAAACACTGAGCCGTAAACATCATGCAGTTCAATAGATGTGTATACACTGCTTATGACGTAATTAATCTGAATGCATTTTGTGATTGTCCATCCAGGAATGATCACCATTCCAGCTGCATCTTTAGCAGGAGCTCAGTTAGTCTCAGCTGGATCCAACACAAACACCACCAACACCGGTCAGGGCACAGTGACCGTCACTCTTCCCATGGCAGGCAACATGGTCAATGCTGGAGGAATGGTCATGGTGAGCACTTGTGGTCATTTTTATCTATTACCGAAAGTGAGTTCTTGCTATAGAGATAATCTATTTAGATCACACTTCCTAATCTTATTGTGTGTGTTTATAATTGAATCAGATGGTCCCAGGGGGTGGCGGGTCAGTTCCCACCATGCAGCGCATTCCTCTTCCTGGAGCAGAGATGCTGGAGGAGGAACCTCTCTACGTCAATGCTAAACAGTATCACAGGATCCTCAAGAGGAGACAAGCCCGTGCCAAACTAGAAGCTGAAGGCAAAATACCAAAAGAGAGAAGAGTATGTGTGCTTTTATGGCAATACATAACAATGACTTTATTTTTATAACTCTTTATGCAAATATAGCAAAACACATTTGTTATATTTATTACATTTATATTATATTTTGATTCATAAATATATAAATGCTATATACGCATAAGGAGTGTGTATATATATATTTATTCCATGGTCTGTCTGAATACTGGATTCTGATTGGCTGGCAGGTATGCACTATAACCGTTTAATGCACAGGTAGTTCCAAGTCCGTTTAATCACCGTTCTATATTAATGCGCGCTGCTTTAATTGATGCACACTAACCAACACACATCACTCGCACACACAGAGAGAGAGAGAGAGATCGCATTTTGCGCTGCACACACACATAAACTTGTTGTCAACGCTTCCCCGCGATTTTTATTAATAAAATAGCCTAGATACTAGATCGCTACATTATATTCCTCAGCAACGATGGTAAAATGGCTGTTTTTGAAGTAATTGATTGTAGAGAGAGATGCGCAGACGCAGCACGCAGGTACACACAACTGTCATCTCTCTCTCTCGATAATTCATTGAAATAAATGCTATAATTCATTAAAATAAATGTGATCTTACTGCACTATTTGATCTCTGTATGATTTGAAGCGGGCAGAATGCTAGAGTAACTGACGAAAATAACTCATTTTTACCCATTCGGTCAAATATTGCGCTGTAAAGAGCAATACTAGTTTTATCTTGTCTATAACTTGGCAAATGACCATGGAATAAGCAGGATAGTCAACGGCTAGCCGTGCATTAAAGGATTTGAATCCTCCGCTTCGCGTCGGGTGGTTCTTTGTCGCCACGTCTTGCATTTAAAATCCTTTAATGCACGGCTAGCCATTGATTATCCCTTATATATATATATATATATATATATATATTTAACCATTGCATCCTTGCATATTTTTAATCATTGTCATTAGAATAGCAAAGCAGTCCTGATTATTATTTTTTACTTTTGTAATAAAGCACTTTTAATAATAATTTAATTAATTGAAAATATTAATAATATTTGGCATATACATATAATGCAGTATATGTGTATATGTATATTTAAAAGAATTATATATATAATTTTATTTTTGGGCCATTTACAAGCTAAACCTTTAGCTCAAGCTTCATCTTAAAATTCACTTTTCTAAAAATTCTTAAAATTTCTTTAAAGGATAGAAATGGCTATATAATATCATATTAATATTATTTGGCCCATTATAAATGAGAATATTAATACAATTCATTAATTATACTAGTTTTTATGGATATTCCTGGGTAATTTTGCTTTAGGGTTTGTTTTAAATCCCTTAAAATATTAAACTACTGCAGTTAATTTAGCCTCATCAGCTTAAATAAAAACCTTACTTGAAACTTTTATCATTAAAGTATTTGCATACTGAGTTGCAGTTGGTATTCTTTCTTGAATTAATTTGCATATAGAATTATGTTTGATCTTTTGTTTCTTGCATCCATTTAATCATTATTTATCTTTGTCATGAGAACAGCAAAACAGCTTCATTTTCTGTAATTCATTAAAAATAGTTTAATTTATTACAAATATTCATAATATTTGACCGGTTTCTGTTCAACACAGCACATATGCAAATATTCAATATATTTTCTTTACCACCCAGAAATACCTGCACGAGTCTCGTCATCGTCACGCCATGGCCAGGAAGCGTGGAGACGGTGGACGTTTCTTCTCTCCGATGGAAAAGGAAGAAATGGCCATGCAGGCCCTTAAGGTGAGCGAGGGGCTTGAGCTCAGCTCTCATTGGTCAGCCACCTCTGCCCCACCTCTGGGGTAAACTATCCAATCCCAGCCTGTGTCCGACCCGAGAGACTGTATGCACCTAATTTAATTTAGACCATCCATACCCTGCGGCTCTGTGTCCGAGCTACCTCATGCGTCTGTGGCACACTCATGTCCAAACTGTCTCTGTCTATGAGTTAACTGACATTTCCAACCAACTTAGTATATATGTTCTAGCCTATAGTATACAATGTACAGATTAGGCCCCATGTTTGTAACTTCTATGCTGCCTTGTAGCATTTTTTACCACTTTTAATAATTCCATTATTTAGGTGCATATCTTTATGTGCATCTTAAAGATAGTATGTTTGAACTGATTGGAAGTGGCTTCTTTCAAAAAGCTTCAGTTGTAAACATGGGTGATTAGCACATTTTATCCTGTCAGTGTTAAAGGTTTCTTATCTTAAATGTCTGACTGCTACTTTAAAAGGAAGTCTTCAACCTTGACGTCTTTTGTTCTGTCTGCATTTCTTGTAGCTTGTATTTCTACCCAGACTGCTTGTGATACTCACTGGATGCTGCGATGTATTAAGCAGTGTTTATTTGTCCTTTTTACCATCTTACTGGTATGAATAGCCATTCAAAATGATCTGGTTTCATTTGTGATGTATGGCTTGGCTTGCACCCTTCAACGCTCTTCTGTCTTTGCCCAGAGCTGTGGCTTTGGTATTGCTTTTGCCATTTTATGTTTCTTACAGTGGGCTGTATGTGGGCTCTTGTTTGCATTTATGTTTGTTACCTGATGATATATATGCCCTTTTTATGCAAATAAACCTTTATATAACCTTTAAATAACCCTCATGTTGTGTTTCGGTCATTTTGACCCAGAGAGGATTTTCTTTTTCCCAAAACTAGTTAAGATACTGACTTTGCTCACATAGGGTGTAACAACTTACCAAAATAATTCTGCACTTTTATGGGATTCCCAAATTTTCAAAAGAAATACAAAACCTGTATTGAAACTGAAAGAAAACAAGTTGAGAGAAAGAGTGAATGCAAGATTTGGTGATAATGTAGCATTATCAGAGATTTACAAGCAATTAGAGGCTGGACATTCTTGGCCAGGAACAACAAGTTAGGAAAAGGATTTTCAGAACAGCACAAGGGTTAAATATTTGATTTTTATTGCACAAAGGTTGCATACAAACTAAGCTAATTCTTGAATTTAAAAAAATTGTAGTATATCTTTAGCTTTATTAATTGATGAAAAAATCTCATAGATGGTTTGAAATGCATAGAGTTGAGTCAATCACTAATATTTTGTATATATCAGACACAGTAAAATTCTCATGGTTCCACCAGGTAAGAGTTCAACACCGGTCATTCCCTCATAGCATGTAGTATTGATAACATTTTCATCAACTTTATTTATCTTCCTTTTTCCTCACAGAAATCTGAGCAGGATCAATCTGAAGAGGACACAGTGGGCCAGATGATTCAGGTGGCATAAACTACCCATTCCTCCACATATATTTCAGTCAGTCCTTGCTTGTTTTAAAAACAAAATTTCAACACATGGTTGATTTTGACTTCCCCTAAATTCCTGTTTATAATTTTCTTTATTTCAGTTCCTGTATAGAACAATGTTTTTGTTATTCAGTACTGCCAGGTAAAACATGCAGATACTGGGAATTTGAGTGTTTTTTTAAACCATCTCACCAGAGCAAAAGGTGTTTGTTGTATTTATAAGAAACGACTTTTCATTTTAGGGTTCATGATTTGTATAGACATTTCATTTCATTCCACTCCATTTCTTTATTTAATTAAAAAGTGACATATGAGAATCAATCACAAAAATGTGAATTACAGTTGAGTTTTGTACTATGGGATGTTTTTACGTGTGCTGAATCAGACTGTGAAATGTTACGATTTTCTATGTACTCGCACTTTTTAGTTGATCCACCAACCATTTGTATATCCGCCGACTCCAAAACATCCTTTAATGAAAACCCTCATTTATCTCTTTGTATTTTCTATTGATGTCTCCCTTATATGAGAATAAAGGTTGGCGTTCTCTACATGGTTGCAAAATCTGCTTTTTAACTTTTAACTTTTAACTTTTTTTAGATATGAAACATACTGATATGTGTAGGATATCAGACCGAATCAGACGATTTGGTCATTGGTCAAAACATGGTTGAAACATGAGGAGCCAAATTCCACAGAGGCCCAAGACAACAGCATGTTCATAAATCAGACCCTAGCACTAGCCAGTCTGAAGCAAGCCTAACCAACTCTTTCACAGAACAGCTTTCAACATTAACACAAAAGGAACACACTGATCATAACAACTCAGGAAGGAGATTGTCAATTTTAGGGCAAGTAATCAAGATTAAATGGTTAAAGAGATGACAGCATGACCCTCACGTGATAGTAAACACAATCAGGAGCCCTGTAGATTGACTTCCCCCAACTCTAACAAAGAACAGACTACTAATAATTTCTATGCATAACTCCATATCATGTATGTAACCCACACATTAGACTATCACGTTTTAATCATTTATTTTGTATGTATTTTGAATAACTATTGAATAGTTTATAGGATTATATTCATGTTGGGTATGTATGTGTTTGAATATTCTTGCTTGAAACGTTTCTTCCAATAAATTATTTGTCAAATGTATCATACTCTTGTTATAGAAATCATGTCCAAAATTATACTCTGCAAGAGCGGGAAAAACTCGGACCATGTGACTGATAAGATAACATTTGATTTATGAATTGGGAGGAGAAATATACAACACCCCGAGCAAAGACGACATCTAATTGGTCAAAACACCATTTGGGAGGTGTCCAAAAGCCCAGTTTAAATACTCAAGACAGCATCAAATCACTCTCTTCGCTCTTCGCTCTTCTTCTTCTTTTTAGTCATAGCTTTGAGCTAT